TAATCAAGTTATCATCATATGCATATAAACACATCATGCAAATATCATGGATAAAATACTTTTGTAATAATCATGTATATATCMCATAAAAATCGCATAATGTACTCACCTTGAATCGTTAACGTTCGATATGTCGTTCTCTCAAAAACGGCAACCTACATGATAATTTATACCATTCCTAAGCATCTTAAATAATCGTAATTAAATGGATTACTATTCCTTAACAATCTTAACACGACTTTTCCTTTTATCGATCAACCCCCGATAACATCATATCTCATATTTCACTCCAATATTTTCTTAAAATATTATTAATAATGTGACGTCGTTAAATATTAATTGTTGCTCGTTCATTTTATAAAATAAGCAATATACTTCACATTTTCTTGAATAATAAATATTCTACCAAAATAACTAAACTAAATAGTTTCGCAACGTAAATAATGTTTTGTGGTCAAAACGTCTCGTTTAAGATTTGTAAGTAAATAAAGGTGACAACATGTCACACACATATAAATAACGGTCGTTCCATAACTTTAAAGTTCAACATAATTAATACTCGAAATAATGTGAGAATACCAATTTTCCAAGTCTAGGGGCATTTTGGTAAATCTTAAGAAGCCGAATACCAAAAATATAGCTTTACCAATTCCCTAATTTAGAGCATTCTTGGTATATTTCATAAGTCGAATATTAAAACGGTGTTTAAAAGTCCAATCCCAAAGCATAGGGGCATTTTGGTAATTTTATTAAGCAATACTCAAAATATTGTTAAAATACCGATTCCCTAATTGTGAGGTCATTTTGGTAATTTCATAAGGATTATATTCAAAATAAAACTTATATACCAATCCCAAGACATTGGGTCATTTCGGTAATTTTATAAAGCAAATACATAAAGTATCGCTAAAATACCGATTTCCAAATATAGGGTCATTTTGGAAATTTTATAAAAATAATAATAAAAATGAAGCTCATAAACCAATCCCCAAGATATATGGTTATTTCGGTAAATTTGGAAGCAAATACGCAAAGTATTGCAAAAATACCGATTTCGCATTTATAGGGTGATTTTGGTAACCGAACGAGAAAAATAATCGAAACTTGGTCAAAGTTTACGTTTTACAAACTCTAAGTAAATTTGATGAAAGTTTCATAAAATTTTATAGAGGAAATTATAATTCTGAATCTGCAGAGGTTAAATGGTAATTTCTAAAACTCAAACATATAATGCATATTAAGAATGACAGTGAGTATAAATAACACAAACTCATAGTTAATCAACTGGTTATCGCTTGGAGCTACAAAGCTGAGGGCACGGGTTCGAACCCTGCCCTCAGCGTGCGCCCTTAATTCGATTTTTGAATGGGTTAAACGGACACGGGTTGACCCGTCCGACCCGGCTCTTGCCCCGGCTCTCGACCCGTCGCACAGGGCAGCCATGGCTGCACTAATTTTACATTTTTGAGCTTGAAAATGGCTCGTTTCTTGACCTTTTTTCTTCATTCTTTTTGCATCAAACTCTTGGTAATATTTTTACCAACACTTTGACATAAAGAACACAAATTTTCATCAAGAAATGAGTTCCATTTACTCATTTAAAGTTTGTTTTTAAAACTAAAACTTAACAACTTAAAAACATAAAAAATCGAACAACGAAAACACAAATATGAGACATGAGGCTACTGGGGTTTAGAGTACTTAAAAACGAAGTCATAGACATAAAAATCAAGAGATTTGGTTAAGAATCTCACCCAAAATCGGTGAAAACCCGAGATTTTCGATTCCGAACTTCAAACTCAGATTTCTCTCTCAAAACTCAACGATTTTTCGAGCTATTTGAACCCCCACGTTCCTAAGCCAGAGCTCTACAATTTATATGCCWARAGTTTTGRCTTATTAGTTGAAGAAATCGGACAAATCGCGAGTTTTAGGCTGATGGGTCGTTTTCTCAAACAGTTATGTACTTTTGGCAAAACAGGTCCCTCATCTTTGAAAAAGATGACATTCGGCCCCCTCAAGTTCCTGACATTTACCATCAGACCCCTCCTGGTGTAATATCTTACATTTTTGGTCCAATAATTAAAAGAAAACATTTTTACTTTATTTTTCTTTTTGTCTTTCTCTTCATTATTTATTTATTTAAGATTTCAATAATTATTTCCTTTAGTGATTTACGTAAATATTTTAACACTTCAAATAAATTTAAAAAAATATATATTTAAAGGCTCATATAATATTATTTATATATTTAAAAAAAATGGGTTTTACAGGCAATGCGTCGACTGATCATCAAGATCGATCCATCGTCCCATGGACACTCGTTAGACTCATTACCGTTAATCGTCTTTCTCTGGAACTGGAACGTCATCGTCGAAAATCGAAAAGGTCGAACACTCAAAGAACAATAGAAATCGTCAATTTCAAATCGCCAAAGCAATCATCTTGTGAACTGTGATGCGTTTATACATTGATTCATGTCATTGGTTTTGTTATTAACTGGGCAGTTGGGCCTCTATTTATAATTAAAGCCCATGTCTCAAATTATTAAACCATAAAACCCAAAACTAATACTATATAAAATTTTGATGCCCCTTTGGGCTTTGATGCTTTGTGCGGTCGCACGAGCTGCACATGCTTAGGGTCGGGCCTGCAAACGAACAAACATGAAAGATAAATGAACACAACTTTTTGTGTCCATATTTGTTTGTTAAGAAAGTGTGTCCATGTTCATCTGTATTTGTTTATTAAGATGTTAAACGAACGTAAACAAATGAACATAAATGAATGGACAAAACGAAGAAAAAACAACCATCATTACTCATTGTTTCGTTCCTAAAAAATAATATAACAAAATAAAAAAACCGAGTAAACTTAGGAGGGGTAAAAAAGGAATTCTAAAATTCTAATCTAATTAAGGATTTTACATTTTAATGTCATCTTTAAATGTTATATATATATATATATATGTGTGTGTGTGTGTGTGTGTGTGTGTGAGAGAGAGAGAGAGAGAGAGAGAGAGAGAGAACAACTATAATGTTATATATATATATATACACACACACAAAGTTCAAAAAACAACTCTAATGTTACATGAATATACAAGAATGACAAATAAGATTGAGATACGTTTGGCAATATTTCGGGTTTTCAACTAAATCAATAAAACTATTTGTTATAGTTTGTAAACATATTATGAACATCAACTAAATCAATAAAACTAAATCTAAACATACCATCTGTGAACACCCTACTAAAAAACCTTTTAAAATTGATTACATTATGTTCACAATATATTCATTTTCTGTGCAAATTTAATTATGTATGTCACAGATAGAGGAAAGAGAGAGACAGAGCAAAAAAAAGATATATTATATATATGTAATTTTATAAGAAAATATATTAATTTTTTTATTTAATAAATAACAATAATTATTAAATTAATAATATTAGTTATTTTAAATTAGTGATCTAAAATAAATTCCATAAATTCCATAAATTTTAAATTGTAATGTTATTCTAAATATAGTTACAATGTAATATTTTAAACAATGATATGAAAATGCAATTGACAAGATTTCTTTTCGTTTAAAATAATTTATGTTTTTTTTATTAACCTGGATATCCAACCCGTTATACAAACCGACTAATTTTAGAGAAATCACATGTTTTGCAAATAGCCCAGAGTCACCGTATTTGAACATTCGAGTCAAGTTCAAGCCAATCAGGCACCATTCTTGTGATTAATAATTTATGTTTTACTGTGAATAGCTAGAGTTGGCACAATTTAACCGAACCAAATTATTTTTCCGACCTTCTCTTAATTTTTGCTTAATTATAATGAACTCTTTTACTCATTGAAGGAAATCAAAAACCATTCTTGTTCCTATATACCTTTCATGTATATGAATACGATTTTGAATATGAAAAAAAAAAAGTTAAATTATATATTAATATACAACATATATATAGCACTAAAAAATGACAATTTACTTTATTTAACTATATGTATATATGTATAATATATATCTATCTATACTACTTTATAAATGAGATTTGGTAAAAGTCTTAAAAACAAGTTTTGATGCATAAGGTACTATTTTTTTATGCATTGAGTCTTAAAAGTCTTAAAAACAAGTTTTGATGCATAAGGTACTACCTTTGTATGCATTAAATATTAAAAGTTTTAAAAACAATGATTTATGCCTAATGTACAAGTTATTAATGCTACCTTCACACTCCTCTAAAATAAGATTATCTTCTCAAGACAAGCGTGTGAAGAAGATTATCTTCCCAAGAGAAAGCTCTCATCGCTCCATACACTGTCATCGAGATGCTTCAGAAATTCGATTCACAAATTGACGATTCATGCTCCCGATTACTTATTCAAGATCGCCGCAATCTGTCCACACAATCTCATCGATTCCCTCCTAAAGTGACGATTCAGAAGTTGCCGATTCAAGATCACCATACATCGATTCGCTCTCGATCCATGCTTCAAATATGACTAAGGTTCCAATCCAGGTAATATTTTTGTTTTTCATCTTCATTTGATTGGTTAGGGTTTTTGATTTTTCTATGGGTGCACTTGAATTAATTGTTTTTGTGTGTTGATTCCTATCGAAATCTTCACTTTTATGGGTTAGGGTTCTTGAGTTTTCTATGGATTTGTATGTAATCGCCAGGCTTCCGGCCTTTTCATTCGCCTCCGCCACTTGCGTTAGCCGCTCTTGTGTTAAATTTACTACTTTTGTGTTTGATTGCCATTACGTTTCTTCGTCTTTTATGAACACCAAAGTGTTTGATTAACTTTTCCAATGAGAAAGAGTCAAATTACAAACTTTTGTGGTTTTTGGTTAGTCGTTGATTGGTCTTTAGAAAAAAAACTTACCTTGTTTATGCATAACAGTTCAAGGGCTTCTAATAAGTGGCGAATACAATGATTCTTGTTGTTGCTTCCTATTCCTTTTTATTGAAACATTTATTTCTTCTCAAGAGAAGCCTATGCGTGTCATGCTCGTTTATAAGAACTATTGAAACATGATTAAAACATAATTATGGGTATTGTGAGATGAGGGTGCTGTTACTGGCTTCATGGTTTGACAAATTATGCATTCCTTTGTGATGGTGGTTCATGAAAGGATTGTCATCTATAGAGAATGTTGTTGGTTAGCTTCATTTACTACTTACAGTTCTAGGCAGATGTTGGTTAATAGAGAATGTTACTTCTTTATGTCTTATTATTCTTAGTTTAGTTGATAGAAAATAAGAACTTGCCGATTATCGTTGAAACCTTACAATTTTACATGGTATTACTGTATTAGGAATAGTGTAACTTTAGGAGTTTATTAGGGTGTTCTTATGTTCTTGCTATTTGGTTCAATTTATAACCCTATGTGTTCGTTCATTTCTTCCCTGTGGATCTGCTTTCCTGGAACCGAAAGCAATTAAGCAAACGAATGTATAACTGTCTGAAAAAAATCGCTATATTTTTTTAAGAGCAAGAGCTTAATCCAAATTTATGGTTTCTTCTTTGTGCATATATTTTCAGGTTGTTCAGGAAAGAAACAAAAGAAAGGCTTCTGGCTATATATATGAACCTTCACCTCTGATCCCATGCAAGGTATATATAATTGATTAGATATCTATTTAAACAGATTTGGGGTATATGTTTGATGTTTATACTTGTGAATTTTATGAGTTGGTGTACATTGATCTTTTCTTATTAACCCTTACTTGATCCACTCATCGAAGTTGATATTGTAAAAACAACCAGCAAATAATACTGCAAATGTTGTTTGGTTCATCGTGAATGTATGTGTTTGTGTACATGGTGGGATGCTAACAAGTGTTTGGTCCTTGCTCAATCAACGATATAATTGGGGGGGGGGGTTGATTGTTTTATGGTCCAAAACCAGAACTGTGGATCATCTTTTACGTCATTTAAAGTCTAAGGTGTTTTTTTCAAATACTTACGGGATAAGTGCTTAATTGCACGAGTCACCATTCTAATTTACCTTATGGGCTAATATTCTCAGCCATCAAAAATTCAAAAAGGACTGATGATAAGCTTTTATAACACAGTACGCTCTATCGGATAAAAGTCATCACCCTTACTTACCGTAAGTCTCTCGATCCTTGTTTTTTTTCTTACTGGGTAAGATTCTAAGTCCTACCCTTTTCTAAGCTATATATTATGTAGCGATCTAAAATCTAAAATGCCAACTATTATGTCCTACCCTTTTCTAAGCTATATATTATGTAGCGATCTAAAATCTAAAATGCCAACTATTATGTATCGGTCTAAATTCTAAAATGCCAACTATTATTTTCTTGACATATTTTTTTGTAACTGCAGTGCCGTACAATTGGTTTGATCAAATCAGAGTATTCAACTTGTGCATCCATATGGATTAGACTTGTTGTACACATTGACCTTGAGTTGGACCTTCCTGTTATCACTAATTCAACCATCCACTTTTCCTTTGACTTCTTCAACCAACCAGTGAGGTGTACTTATATTTGCCAAAAGTAATAGGTACAAGTTTTATGTTTATCAAAGACCAACATAGGAGTTYCTACAATCTTTCTTTTTCTTTGCATTGCATCATAAGAAACAGCAATCAAACCAACCTATGTGATAATGTAGCAGGTGTTTTCAAAGGAAAAGTATAGTCTATCAAAACGTTATCATTTGCAACAATTTACCTGGTAAGCACTTCCCGGGTAAGAGTCGTCGCCGTCACTTATCGGGTAAGACTCTTCGTCTTCATCTGCATCTGATCCGTCAATTTACCACCACCATGAGAAGGCTTTTTAGCAACTMTTYTTTTCTCTTTCTCCCCATTTCTCTTCTCTTCTCTATAATTTGATTTTATAACACTCTTTTTCATGCCTTTAGGATTAAGAAAGGTCGCTGATATTATGAAGACAAAGAATCGTTTATAAAGAGGTTGGTTCTATTCATTATGGGGTTGTTTACTTAACGCTTACCCAGTAAGGTYCAAGAAACGTGGTGGTCTATAGCAATAAGGCCTACATGCATTTCATCATGTTCAATACAAGAGGAAGAGGACGTGCATAGAGATGTATACGAAATGGTCTTTGATATGAAATTAGATCAAATCTGAGCACGATAACATCAAATAATTTTGCWTTAATTTTTATTTATATGTACCATGTAAAATTCAATTGCTTTTGTCTTTTGAGTTAAAAAACAATGTATTTAGGGACATRAAACATAAATACTAAATTTATAGTTTTTGGACTTTAGAAATAAAGGTTGGTTATCTCTTACATTTTTATGTAAAGAATTGGATTGCATGGTTCTGAGAGGGAAGAAAATTATAATTTTATTTTTTCTCAAATGCTTTAATTATTGACACACAAAATAATTGACATCCCGCTGCATTGTGCGGGTATACAACTAGTATATGTATATATATATATATATATATATATATACGTTCCTCAAAAAATCCGATTCGGGCAGATTCTTCCCCCAACTAACGAAGAGATCTTATATATATATATATATATATATATATATATATATATATATATATATATAGTTTGTGGTAACCGTGAGATCTAATATTAACCACACAAATTAATAATCAATGGTTGAAAATATAAAGAAAAATTCATTACTGAAATTCCAAAAATAACTCTCCAATATTTAATGTGAGTATGTAAATAAGGGCAAAAGGGTCAAAAATTTTTAAATTTAATGAGACTATTTTGAGCACCCTATAAATCCGTTAATCTTCTAAAATTACATTTCATCAAATCAAAACAAAAAACACAAAAGATCTTGTTGGTTGTGCAAAAAGAAGTGGAAAACAATTTGTAGATTTTGGTTGAACATGTTGTGTTACATTGTGGTAAAAAAGATTGTGCTTTCATGTGCTACCCAAACCACCAAACCCATGGTGAGAATTCTTTGGTCGCAATCCATACAAGACAACCTCCAAACCACTAAACCCATGGTGAGAATTCTTTGGTAGCCTACAACCAAGAACTCATAAGTTATAAGGGGCTACAAATTCCAATAGTTACTATGCGGGACAAGGTGTTACAATACCAATAGTGTATTAGGTAACACAAGATGTTGTGTTACATTGTGGTAAAAAAAATTGTGGTTTCATGTAGTAAATTTAGGAATATAAAATCAAAATTAATTGGAAGTTTGAAACGTATGGAATTAATTAATAAATATTGAATCTAAATTTAATAATTTATTAACTTGTCCTTTTACATTAATTTAAAAAGAATAATTAATATATTAAAATGATTGATTGAGATTGGATCTCACGGTTACCACAAATAAAACAGTTCTCATTTGGTTAAGCCCATATATATATATATATATAGACTTGAGATCATGTGAGACCAACCTGTTTTCGTGAGACCCGTGAGACCAACATTTTACACTTGAAACTTCACA